GTATGGATAATCTATTTAATGCTTGAAGTAGGGTGTTGAAGTCCCCTACTATTATTGCATTGCAGTCAATCTCTCTGTTTAAATCTATTAATATATGGTTGATATATTTGTGTGTTCTGCTATTGGGTGAATTTATATATTTACAATTGTTATATCCTTTTATTGTATTGATTCTTTTTTTCATTATACAGTGGACTTCTTTTTTTTTAACTGTTCTTAACTTAAAATTTATTTTATCTGATATGACTATAGCTACTTGTACTCTTAAATTTTTGTTTCTATTTGCATGAAATACCTTTTTCCATCCCTTCACTTTCAGTCTGTTTTGATAGGTGAGGTGAATTTTTTGAATATAGCATTAATTAAGTCTTAATTGAGTCTTTTTTTTTAATTCACCCACTTTGTCTCTTTAAATTGAATAATTTAATTTATTTACATTTAAGTTCATTACTGATAGATAAGAGCTTACTACCGTCATTTTGTTAATTGTTTTGTTTTGTCTGCTTTTTAGATCTTCTCTCTCTTCCCCTTTTTTACTGCATTTCTTTGTGATTAAATTATTTTCTCTGAAGGCTGAGGAAGAAGGATCGCCGGAGCCCAGCAGGTCGAGGCTGTGGTGGCCGGGAGCAACCACTGCACTCCAGTCTGGGCAACAGAGTGAGACTCCAACTCAAAAAAAAAAAAAAAAATTATTTTCTCTGGTAATATGTTTTAATTTGCTGATTTTTATTTTTAGTGTTCTTAAATACATTTTTGCTTTGTTGTTACCATTAGCTTATAGAAAAATGGCTTATAAAATGACAGATTATTTTAGACTGGTAACAACTTAACTTCAATAGCAAAGAAAAGAAACATAACAAAAATAAACTCTATATTCTAATACCCCGATATTTTGACTTACTGATGTTTCGATTTACTTACAACTTTTTATACTATTTATTGCTTAACCAATTGTTGTAGATATTGTTGATACTTGAGACATAAGTTTTCTACCCAAATTACCGTATTAGAGTATTGTGAACTCTTCTGTTTCCTTTCCTTTACCAGTAAGTTTAGTACCTTAAGATGTTTTCTTGCTACCTGTTAGAATTATTTTCTTTTGAATTGAAGAATTCCCTTTAGCATTTCTTGTAAAACAGGCCTGGTGTTATTGAAGTCCCTCAGCTTTTGTTTGTCTGGGAAAGTCTTTATCTCGCTTCATGTTTAAAGGATAGTTTTTCTGAGTGCAGCATTCTTGATGGGTAGTTTTGTCCCACCAGCTCTTATAACATCCCTCTCCTGGCTGGCCGAACTTCTGCTGAGAGATCTGATGAAAGCTGTATTGGCTCCTTTGAATGTGATATGTCTCTTTTCTCTTTCTGCTTTGAGCATTCTTTTGTCTTTGATTTTGGTAACTTAATTATGATGTGTCTTGGGGATTTCCTCTTTTGGTTGAATTTAGTTTTTATGTCCTTTAATCTTCTTGTACTTGGATGGTGTGGCCCTTTTCCAGATTTGTGAAATTTTTAGTTATTATTTTCTTAAATGTGCTTTCTAGACCCATTAATCTCTTATCTCCTTCAGGAATTCCTATCATGTGGATATAAGTTCAGTTGCTGGTGTCCCTTAATTCTCATAGGTCTTTTTCATTCTTTTTTCTTTTTCTCCTCTGATAGGGTAATTTCATATACTCTGTCTTCAAGTTCACTCACTCTTTCCTCTGTTTGGTCAAGTTTGCCGTATAATTTGTTTCTAAGATTTCTATTTTTTTACATTGCTTCTATTTCCCTCAAATTTTGTTTTTAAATTTTTTTAAATTTTATTTCTTTTTCTATCCATATTTTCTTGTGATTCTCTGACCCTTTTTAAGAAGATTATTTTGAATTCTCCATTCAGTACTTCATAGTTCTTCAATTCTTCTGAGTCCGTTGCTTGAGCTTTGTTGATTTCTTTTGATGGTGTCATATTTCTCTGAGGTTTCATAATCCTTCCATCTTTATGTTGACGCCTGTGCATTTGAGAAGATGCTATCTTTCCTAGTTTTTGTAGGTGCTCTTTGGTGGCGTTAGACATTCACTTCTCAGTGTCAGAACTTAAATGTCAAGCTGTTGTTTCTACCCATTCTGGAGGACTTATAGTGAGCACTGGTACTGAAACCTGCAACACTGCACTGTAACTAACTCTTTGCCCTGTCATTATTTCCTGGTCTGAGAGAGACTTATAGTGAGCACTGAACATTAAATACAGTCCTGGATTTATACTGTTGCCAAGCCATGGGTTCCCAGCCTGGGGCAGACTTAGGCACACATCAAAACTTAATCCCAACCCTTTAGCTATTCTCAGATCAGGGAAGGCTCAATGTGAGCACTTGAACTTTGTATAAAATCTTTCTGGGGATGGAACCATCCCACAGATTGTAACCCCACAGCACTATGGTCTGGGCATTCTCTTTCAACATGGCATCCCTGCTGAGGAGAGTCAGGATAGCTGCAAGTGGCTATGATCAGTGTCTCACCCTTTGTCCCTAATTCACCCCAGGTAGCTTAGCCCTCCTGGCAATTCCTAGTGGCCCCTAAGGAATGGAACCTACATGGGCTTCCAGCAAAGATTATCAGACTGGTAGGGAGATGAAGCAGTCACCTCTTCTCATCTCGGAAACTGTGGATCTAGAAAAATTCTCCTGTGTGGCATTATGGTAGCTTGGTGGAAGGAGAAGCTCAGCTTAAAACAACCATTTATCTTATCAGTACAGCTTCTCTCAATTCCCTGGGCCCAGGAAGTATCTCTGCTTCTCCCCCTAGTTCTAGTGAACTCGGGTATTCTTGTTGCTAGTTTCTAGTTGTATTTATGTAGGCGGAATGATGCTGAGAGATCTTCCAAGCTGCCATTTGGTTGCTATCAGACCAGTTCATTGTATGTTTTCAAATAGCTAGAGATATGGATTTTGAATGTTCCCAACACAAAGGAAAAAATAAATATATTGCCCAGAATTTGATCATTACAAATTGTACACAGGTTTTGAAATATCACACCATGCCCTGTAAATCTGCACAATTATTATGCGTCAACTAAAAATAATAAAAGCACATCAATTAATTAAGTCCAGAGGGAATAACCACACTGGGATGAACATAGATTAGAAGGAATCTCTGAAGGGAATTCTGGAAGAGAAAGAGAAGAATCAGTTCAGAGTCCCATCTCTTCCCACACTTCCCTTCCCTGAGTCTGTTGTGTTTACATAGCTAGACAGTGATTTAAACAGGGTAAGATTATGAATGGAGAAAGTGGGGAATCAGTAAGCTGCTGGTAACCCACAGTAGTACAATCCTTACCCTCTCCAACTGGCCCAAGACTAGACTTCAGGCATATATTTTTTAAAAATCATAAAGCCCAATCCTCTGATCTTGTTGAGAAGTCAAAAGGACTTACCCAAGCTTACACAATGAGTAAACTTTCCGTGGAAGAGGATATCTCATCCTCTGTCTGAGGGCAAGCACTAGGGCAGACGCGTTAGAGTCACTTAGAAATCTGTGCTCTATTTTGTTTTTAAAAGATTCTGGGACTCCTAATTCTAAGTCTAGAGCCTCCCCTGCGTGTCCTCCCACAAACATATGCTGACTTCTCCGTAGCTGCTTCCAGCAAGGCAAAATAGATGGTTCTGAGCCTTCGAGGCCACCCTCACCCCATCCCTATTTAATATCTCAAATTCCATGCTCTAAGCATTTTTACCCTTTCCTATGACTCGTGATAGTCACTTTGGCCTACATAATTTCTTCACCTATCAGTGTAAAAATGGCAGAACATTATTAATACGCGTGAACTCTACAAATTTCCCTTCTGGAATATTTCTGCAGGCATAAACATTCCATTAAGATGATTAAAAACCAAATCAAAATTTTCAGTAGAAAAATATAATTCTTCAGTGATGAAGGAGTAGAGTGCTAAAGAGGAACAAAGGCGTAATATATTTTTTGTTTTGTTTTGTCTTGTTTTGTTTTGTTTTTTATATTTTTTTTTTGAGTCGGAGCCTCACTCCCTGGCCCAGACTGGAGTGCAGGGGCCGCTCCCGGCCCCCGCAGCCTCGACCTGCTGGGCTCCGGCGATCCTTCCGCCTCAGCCTTCCCGGTAGCCGGAACTACAGGCGCGCGCTACCACGCCCGGCTGATTTTTTGATTTATTGCAGAGATGAGGTCTCGCCGCCCAGGCGGGTCTCGAACCCGCGGGCTCAGGCAGCCCACTCACCTCAGCCTCCCAAAGGCGTGGGATGACAGGCTGAGCCACCAAGCCCGGCGGGCTTAGTATAATTACATAGCAAAAGGCAGAATTCACACGAAGGGAGGGAGAACAGTCTTGTACTTTGTTCAGTGGGTTTAAATTACCAAGTACCTAAAGCAACCTGACAGGTAAAGGGATTACATTTTAAAATAACCCCTCACTAACTTTTCTTAATAGTTGGATGGGGCCTAGGTTTACAATGAGAGAATTATCAGAAAGATTTGATAATCTCTATGTATAATTACTTTCCAAACCAACTTCCTGATGAAAAGTTAGAGCTCTTGAAAAAAATCGAGACATGAGAACAAGCCTCCCAAAATTGGAACTTTTCATTCCTAAGAGCTTATATTTTAAAGAGTCTCCTGTCTTTATTCTTAAATGTTTTATAATTTTGTTACTGTTTACTCAGTAAGACAAAGACATGCTGGCTATACAGAAACAAAGATATTAAATTAGAACCATTTATACAACCAATTAATGTCTAAAGGCCTCTGGTCAAAAAGATAAAACAGGAAAGAAAGAGTGAACTGTCTCAGTAAGAAAATAAGCAACTATAAATGAACTGTTGTAATCTATGAAAGCAATTAGTCACATGTATAAACAGGAATTTACAGGCATCTCTTATTTGAAAGACTTTTTTTTAGCAACTTACAGTATATTCATTGAGGCTTAATCACATTTGCAAGAATCATTTCTCTAAAAGTAAGAAAAATGCCAAGCATAATAGCTTGGTTCTAGGCACTTACCTTCTTCTTCAATTGGCAATATGCTGGTGTTTCTCCTCAAGGATAAAGAATCTTCATCTTTTTCATAATTTTCTTAAAAGATTAAAATATTTTATTAGTTATAGCTTTAGTATAATCAAGCACTTGTATTTTTCTAAACCCAGTGCATTTACTTGAATCCCTAGATGAGAGTTTGTTTCTTAGACTTCTCAATAACTGTAGGTACTTAAAGGAAATTTTGTTAATGGACAAAAAAAAAAATACATTTCTCCTGTAATTTGCCCTCTCTAGTTAAAGTCAGTTCCTACAAGGAAAGGGTGTGCACTAAGAGTTATTATGAGGCTCACATAAAAAAAAAAATCCACGTAGAAGAGTGTCTCACTAAAGAGAGAACACTTTGATGACTTCCAGAAGTAAGGCAGAAGACAAATGACTGCATGTTTCCAACTGAGAAATGGTGACAATGAACAGGATAGAAAGAAATTGACTTTATTTTATCATTATTATTTTTATTATAAAGACGTGGTATACAATTCAGGGTTAAGTATACAAACGTTGATTATGCAGGTACCCTTGTTGATGAGGTGTGCCCCTCCCTCCCAAGAAACTGACTTCAACCAGAAGCCTATTCTGTAGTCTATGGACACACTCACTGCTGGCTCCAGTTAATCCTGACTTTATTAAAGTTCCTTTTTTAACTTGGCACATAATGAACAGTTGAAAGTAAAAAACATCATGAAAAATAAAAACAATTCTGAAAAAAAACCATGCTGAAATAGAAATTATTCCAGAATTAGAAAAAAGTCTAAACAACATAAAGGTCTAACTAAAACACAGATTAATCTGTCATTACCTTTGCGTATGCTGGCACCAAAAGAAGTGAGATCGGCATCCTTCGTGACGTCCTCTCTTGATGTGAGCTCGACTTCCTGTTTTGCTCCCCTTCTCATTAGTGTCAAGCGCACAGTTTGTCCTGTGTGTCGCAAGACCTCTACTGCTTGTTGATTGGTAAAACCCTGAAGGTTTGTGCCATCGACCTGTCATAAAAAGACATTTCAAATAAATGGATATTTGTATTACAGTTTACAAAATGCATATTTACTGCTCTTGAGTGTCAAAAGAATGGGAAATGGGTATTCCCCTTACGGGGAAATGGGCAAGGACAACCTAACACCTCTTTGGGGACCAGTATTAACTTAAATGTGCGAGAATCGTTTGGTAGGGTTCTGTTTGTTTTGTTTAATATAGATTCTGGTGTACTACTTCTAGAAATTGTGAGCTAGTAGATCTAGGGTGGGGCACAGGCTTCTACGCCTTATTAAATACCTTTTCATATTCCATCCCTGATGCAGAGTCAGGCTTGGAAATCAGAACTAGGCAGGATAAAAAGGTATAGAAGTACAGACTGAGAACACAGATGCATCCTAAAATTGTCTTAGACTACCTTTAAAAAAGGAAAAGACAACAAAATTGCCTTCCTTTTTATGTCTTTGTCTCTTCAAAAAATACATGTGATTCCCCTTTTCTAGTTCACAAATGACAAAGCATTTGAAAATGCCCCTGCGATCTTTCTATAACACAGATGTGACCATATGACCTGACACTGCCTTCTACAGAACATTCCTCAGGACAACGCCCCGAAATCTGAACATGACTCAGCATGGCCTGTGCCAGCTGCCCCCACCTCCCATCATGATCACTGCCCACCATCACCAGCCTCATCCTGCATGAGGTTGCTATTACTCTACAGTAATACGCCTTGCAGCCATACCTCGGACTCACAATACTCCCTTCTGCCATGGAGTCTCTGCAAGTCCTGTTCCCTCAGTCTGGACACTCTGGATGGCCCACTCTGGACCATGCTCTTCCTCAGAAGTTCACTTAGAAAACACCTCTAATTGCCTTAGATCTCAGTTTGATAATTAGTTTCACAATGAAACTACCCTGACATCCTGGACTGCAGTCAACACCCTCCTTTACCCATTCTCCCTCAACAGCAGTTTCCAGAATTTTAATTTTACATTTTCTGCCATTATGTAGTTGATAGCTGCATTATCCAAGGAGAGGCTCTGTGTCATTTTCGCTTACAGGAGTGTCACCAAAACACAATGCTATCCACACAGTAGACATTCATCCCAAATAAAAGCATGGTGGCATTGGCTCATGTGACAGAAGATTTATTTTTAAAGCAAATTACCTTTTGGGATAGATAAACACAGACAATAACACCATATTTTTAAAAATTCATAAAGTCATAGTAAAAAACAGTTTGAAAAAGTAAGACAATATATGTAATGTTGAAATTCAGAGCCATTGAAATTCCTTTGAATTGCAAAATGGCAATTACATGGCTGTGTAAGTGTCATGCTTTTCTAAACACAGTGCTGGCCACATTAAATATTTACTCAAGGAATGAGAATTAGAAGACCTAGACCAGTGGTCTCTGAGATGGACAACCCTACTGCAGAAGTTTCTGAAAGACATAATCAAGCTTCTAACTACACATTTAAAAAACCCATTTGCTTTACAGATGCATGTATATATTCATACACACACGTCTATGTTAATTAAGCATATGAATATACTATACATAAAACAACATGTACATGAATACATAAAGAAGAAGAAGCAGAGAAAAAGAATGAGCAGTCAATCAGTTTTACTAATAAGAATATCCAATAAAAAACCCAGAGACCGCTGATCTAGATGATAAACTCACACTATGAGAGTTCTTTAAATCTCATCTGGTACTTCTGAGCTAGAAGTTAGCTTGAACATGGGTGTCTAACTCTCTTCTTTCTCCTCACTCTCACCTTTCTGATTCCCTTTCAGGAAGACTAGCAACATATAGCAGGGAAGACAGAAACATGCAATTTTCCCATATCTCAAAGGAAAAGAATAAACAGAGAAATACGTTCAGAGAAATAAGACTGAAGACATATAGGCTGGTCTAAGAAATCTGATATGCAAGGAGAAGATAATAAATGAAGAAAAAAATAATCAAAGAAATGATTATGGAGACAGAAAACTTACCCAAGTCTATAAACCAAAGACAAACATGAAAAAGCTGAAGACACATAGGGAGAAAAAAATAATAATCTAACTCCTGAATGCATTCTGGTTAAATTCTTGTATTTCAGAGATCAAAAGGAAAAAAAAACCTATAGGCAGCAGAGAGAGCAGGTTATCTAGAGAATTTGTGGAAAAGAAATTATGAACCAATAATGTTATACTCAATGCGACTTATGTGAAAATGGGAATTGTGTGATTGAGATGCCACGGCTATCCACATCCTATACCAAAGAGAGTTGTAAAAGGGGCCACCATGCAGAGATTTAAACTATGGGGTAAAAAACCACAATTCACACCCATGTAGGATATAAAAGAGCTGTGATGTGAAAAATTAAGAAAACCTGAGAGGAAGATTTTTTTAAGAGAGAAAAGTGCTGTAAGGCCCCGCCCTACCCACCCAGGTTATTTCTCCCCTTAACCTTAAGTCAAAAATCACCTGTAGTAGGGAAGCATGCAGTGGAGGGTGTCTGACACTCTCAGGAGGGTAAGGAAGAGACTGTTTAGCTGCTTTGACAATGGAGCAAGGGAAAATTGCTGTTATTCTGGGACCAGCTCGACTCCCTGACTTTGAGCATACACCAAAGGAGGACCACACGCATGAGAAAGCCAGGCTCAAGTCGTTTTGAAATCTATCCAAGTGCCCCTAGGGAATGACAGGACCCAAAAGGGAGACTCCATGCAACAGGGATCAGGGGAGAGACGGGTCAGATCAAATCTATCATCTGTCATTCACAGAAAGTTAAGTCAAATACAGAAAGTGCCAAAAAAAAATTTGCACATTCTAAGAAAGGAAAAAAACTGTATTAAAATTGTAATACTCAATATATGCTGACAGCAAAAGGTGAATACAAGTCATGTTTGACTTCTGCAATTACAAGAGGTACTCAAGGTGGTTGCCATCAGTGTCCAGACACTTCTGATTATGGCAAACTAAAAGTAATGCAAAGATAACATCTCTTGAAATGTCAATACATTTTTTGGCATCCCCAGTCTATCTCCATTGGGATCTTCCAAGCGCCTAAGAAGGAACCCTAAAAGCCAGTCAGCTTTGAACATCTGCCAGGCTCACTCAGCACAAAGCCATCTTACAACAGTACCAGTCAAAGAAAAAAATGTCTCATCCTCCTTCCTTCTCTCAACTTCTGGAAACCAAAGAAACCACAGTAAAGTGAGGGAGTAGAAGAAAAGTTAGGTGGGGAAAGACCGACCAAGTAGTACCCCAAGTAAGCCATCAGTTCACAGTAAACTTCTGATGGACTAAGGGAATAGTTTGATATTAGATGATCATTGAGTATGGGAAATTCCTAATTACTAAATTGGAACCATGTTTGACGATTTTGATTGGCCATAGAATAAATTATCCTCTAAGAATAACCTAAGATATGGGACTTGTCTAGGATTTCTTCCAGGGGAAAGTGAAGAACCTTTCACATTAAACATTCAAAGGGGCAGTTGATGATACAACTTTAAAAGACGGCTAAGATTATACCCAATAATCATCTTTGTTCAATGTCTCTGTTATCGCCCAACAGCCAACTAGTGTAAAAGGACTACAGAAGAGGTTCTCAAACACAAAAAGTTTAGAAACTCTACCGACACTCGCACTTTCTGTAAAATTTACTCAAAACACTCCAGCCAAATGAGAGACTAACAAGATTTAAAATTCAAAGTAAGAAAATTATGGCTATAAGATCCAGTACTAAGCAATTCAAATAAGGAAAATTCAAATCTAAATAATACTATTATAGCAACAAAACTGAATTCAAATAGTTCAGGTTCTTAAAAGATATATAAGGTGGTACATAATAATCTGTTTACAACAACAAACAACATAACTGTCCATGAACAAGGCTATTTAAATACAAATTGTAAGTAGAATAAAAAAAGTATAGACAAATATATACTATTTAATTTACATTATTTATACTTCAAAGATAAAAATGAATCTACCACAAGTTAACTTGTTATTTACTCTTATGGAAATAAAGAAAAAAACAGCACAAATCTCAACATTGAAAAGTCTTAAAATGCACAGAACTTCAGACTACAATCTGTTATTTATAACAGATTTTTATTGCACAATCCTTTAAAAATGAAGCTTTATTAATATGTATTTGGTTATTTAATAGCAATAAACTTCTAGTATAAAAGAAAAAATGCATTTTTCCTTTATCTTCGAAACATGATAACTTGGATTTTAAAGTAGATTTTCTACCCAAATGTCAAAAGATAGTACTACACAGAAGAAATTCTTATAAAGGAATAGCAGTGGCATGCTCACGGATACTCCAGCATCAACCTGCTGGGCTCCGGCAATCCGTCGCCTCAGCCTTCCAAGTAGCTGGAACTACAGGCATGTGCAACCACGCCTGGCTAATTTTTGATTTATGGGATAGATGAGGTCTCACCAAGTTGCCCGGGCTGGTCTCGAACCCACAGAGCCCAGAAGGTCAACACCGGGATGGCTGTGAGCGTGCATGCCACTGCACTCCAGCCTGGGCAAAGAAGTGAGACTCCAACTCAAAATAAATAAATAAATAAATAATTTTAAGTTACAAAATAACACACAAAATAGAAAGAAATAATTTTTTCAATCTCACCATCTCAACATTTACAAAATAAAAATAGATTACAGCTCCACTACTTGCTGTCAAAAGAAAAACCAAATCGAACAAAGACTGCAGTTGTGAAAATGCAACTGGGTGTAAAGGACTTTACTACAAATGTCTCAAAAGTCCACAAGATGGTGACATTTCATACAAAATTAATACATGATCAAAAGCACTGCAGGATATTCCCCAGGAGTTTGAGATGCTTCAAACTTTGTAGTAAGAGAATGTTGCTAAACATTAAAAAATCAGAAAACTGCTGACAACAAAGACAAGATTTTTTTTAAAAGCAGGAAAGCAATTCAAAGAAAAAATGCTTCCACCTTTCAGTCATCAAGTTCCTTCATCACGGACCTTGCCTACAGGGAATTATATCTGAGAAGAATGAAAATAATGACAAAATTGGAGGGAGGGTATCATGAGATTCCTTCAAATATAATCATTTTAGGCCCTCAATAAATATCTGCTTAACTATCAAACTGGTATCAGGTATTTAAAGTACTTATTTGGTTCTCCTAAAAATTATAAAAGAAAAGTTTCTATATCCTAATTTTATAGGTGATGGGACTAAATCAAGAATCTTGCTAAATTGTTAAACACAGAAGTATCATAAGATTTAGCAATCCCACACCTAAGTTTACACCCAAGAAAAATGAAAATATATATCCACGTAAAAGCTTGTACATGAATGTTCATAGCAGCATTATCTGTAGTAGCCAAAAAGTAGAAACAATCCATCAACTGATGAATGGGTAAATAAAATGTGATATAGTCATACAAAGAAATATAAGGGGGAACCTACAAAAGTGAAATTATCTTTTGGAAGGCAAGCCCCTTTTAGGACACTCAAAATTTGTGCGTCCCAATCTAATGGTCAGCCAAAGTTTTTATCTGGAAGTTTTGAGAAGGCTGTGTCATGATTTGCAGAAGAAATGTCCCAAGTTGTTGTAAGCAGGTGACTGTTTCTTCCTCTCTGACAACGCACCTGTCCACACTGCACTGACTGTTTAGCAGTTGGTGTTTGTTTTTTTTTGAGTTGAAGTCTCACTCTGACACACAGGCTAGAGTGCAGTGGCACACTCACAGCCACTGCAGCCTCCACCTGCTGGGTTCAGGTGATCCTTCTGCCTCAGCCTTCCAAGTAGCTGGAACTACAGGCGTGCATCATCACGCTCGGCTAATTTTTTTAATTATTGTAGCGATGAGATCTCGTCAAGTTGCCCAGGCTGGTCTCGAACCCCTGGGCTCAGACAATCCTCTCGCCTTAGCCTCCCAAAGTGCTGGGATTACAGGCTTGAGCCACCGCAACAGGCCTGTTTAGTAGTTTCTGACCAAATATGGCATGACGCCTGAGCCCCACCCTCCCTATGCACCTGATCTCACTCTGAGTGACTTTTTGTTTATTTCCCTGGATGAAAAAACTCCTCAAAGGGAAAACATTTGGCCAATGTGGAAGAGGTGATACAAAAACTGGCAGAAGCACTAAAAGGCATCAAAATTGATGAGTTCAAAAACTGTTCTGAGCAGTGAAAAAAGGTGTCTCGGTTGGTATATTGCATCAGAGAGTACTTTGAAGTTTAAACATGTAAGAATAAATACACAATTTTTTATAAATAAATTATGTTTTTGGACAACCCCCACGGGTTCCCTCCCACTTTGAAAGCTTCTCTGTCTTCTCAATAAACCCTGCTTCCAAAAAAAAATGTTTTTTGGGGGTCCCTCCTCATATTATTCAGTAAGGAATAAAAGGAAATGAAGAACTAATGCATGACATAACATGGATGAACCTTAAAAACATAATGCTAAATAAAAGAAGTCAGTCACAGAGGACCACATCCTGTATGATTCCATTCCATGAAAAGTCCAGAATAGGGAACTCCACAGAGACAGAAAGTAGACCAGTGGATACCTAGGACTGAAAGGATGAGGAAACCAGGTGGTGATGGGTATGGAATTTCTTTTTAGGGTATTGAAAATGTTCTAAAACTGACCGAGGTAATGAATGCACACTCTGTGAATATGCTAAAAGTTATTGAAACGTATGCTTTAAATGGGTTGACCCGTATGAATGTGAGTTGTATTTTTGTATGAAGGTGGGTATTTTTCAAGTTTTCTAATTAATTAAGATAGGTTGGAGAAAGAGCAAATTAGCTTTGCTTTCAATTTGTAATTCAGCATCAGATATGGATTAGACTTTACATTTATTCATTCTTTCTTCCTCACTTTCCCTGCTCCTTCAAAAAATAAAAATGGTTAATTTTCATTGTATGGTAAAATGGAAATACACAGAGGAAGTTCACTTCTAGCATATAGCCAGATCAGGTGACAAGCACAACTTGATCATTCGAGTAGATTTCAAGAAGTGGACAGGTGTGGGCAGGAGTTTCTCAAAAGAAAACCCAAAAATATTCAGCGAGCTGCAATGTAGACTCAAGGGGCTGAGAAAAAAGACTCCTCTATTTTTAAAAATGTGGTAGAAAACACATTACATAAAATTTACCATCTTAACCATTTTTAAGCGTGCAATTCAACCGTGTTAAGTACATTCACATTGTGTGTCACAGGTCTCCAGAACTTTTTCATCTTGGAAAATGGAAATACTATACCCACTGCCCAACCTCCCATTTTCCGTCTCCCAAGTCCCTGGTAACCACCTTTCTGTTATCTGTTCTGTTAGTCTGACTAGATTAGATATTTCACATAAGTGGAACCATACAGAATTTGTCTTTCTGTGACCAGCTTATTTCACTGAGCATAATGTCCTCAAGGTCCATCTGTGATGTAGCATGTGGCAAGATTTTCTTCGTTTTAAAGACTGAATAACCTTCCATGGTGTGCGTGTGTGTGTGTGTGTGTGTGTGTGTGTGTGTGTGTGTGTGTGTGTATTACATTTTATCCATTCATAGATGTTTGGGTTGCCTCCATGTTTTTGCTATGTGAATAATATAATAAACAAGAACTCCTCTGTTACTCCTTTATTCTATTTTCTTTTTATTATTAAGATTCCAAAGGAACAACAAAGAATTTAGGGTAAACAAACACCTATTAAGATAAAGCAGCATGCCCTAAGATGTCTTTCAAAAAATATCAACATGTGTTTGAGAAAAGAAAGACCTCAAAATTACAAAAGTTTAGGAAAAACTGAGGGAAAAGAGGTAAGTGGATTTTTTGACTGCAGGACTTCTCAGAGTCTTCAATCTTTCTATGTGCACTACGAATCCCTCAGAGACCATACTGCAAGTTTTCCCTAAACTTATCTGACCAGGAAGCCCTTGGTAAAGGGTCTCTTGAATTTGTGTTTCAGGGAGAGTGGATACTGGGGGAGTCTAGTATCCACTGAACACTGAACTGAAACTTGACCTCTTTCAAATACTACACTGAATAGCCATGTTTGTAAAACACACTGATATTACTATAACTGTGATGGCTTGACATCTATTTCTTTCGTTCTTATATATTACTAGGCCTGAAAGGAGCCCTGGCCACAGAGTTAACAATAATTAGTATCATTCTGTTGATTGAAAAAAGATATACAAATCATACAGGATATGGTCCTCTGTGACTGACTTCTTTTATTTAGCATTGTGTTTTTAAGGTTCATTCATGTTATGTCATGTATTAGTTCTTCATTTCAGATTCAAAAGTTGGGCAGTGGGTATACTAAAGGTCATGACATCTTTACCTTTGGAATGTCTGCAAGTAAAGTTATGTTACTATAACAAATGCATTATAGCCAGAAATAGAATATATCAGAAATCATTTAAGAAATAAGTCTCCCCTTTAGAACTGAGACCAGGAAAGCATCCAATGCTCTGATTTTACTTCTACAAAATAATACAAGGGGAATTGTAATGGCAGCCTCATGCCACCAAAATAAGCTCAAATTAGTACAGAGCTAACTGTAGTTCTCGAAACTAGGTAAACTAGGATCATGCAATTCTAAACCATGAAAATTAACAAAGCTATTAGTAAACATGTAACTTACTGCTATAATCTGATCTCCAATTTGAATTCTTCCATCGTGTTCAACAGCACTGCTTTTTGTAATGCTCTTCACAAAGATTCCCGAGGGTTCTAAGATTAGAAATAGATTATTTTTCACTATCCATAAAGTACATTCAAAGACTATCCATTCCCCAAATAGAAAACCCTAATTTTGAATAAATTTTGAATCATCACACCACACAAACAAAACCTCTAGTAGCAACTCAGGCTAGAGAAAAAGACAAGTGTTTTATCTGTCTTAAATATAGTATCCGAGTAACCTACACTAAATAATTGCTAAGAAAGTTTTCAAACTTTTCATACAAAAATGTGAAAACATGCAATGTTGATTGTTTATAAAATATAGATATTAGACACAACTGCACATTTTTAAAAAATTTAATGTTTAGCCGGGCTCGGTGGCTCAGCCTGTAATCCCGCGCCTTTGGGAGGCTGAGGTGAGTGGACTGCCTGAGCCCACGGGTTCGAGACCCGCCTGGGCAGCCAGACCTCATCTCTACAATATAACAAAAAAAATTAGCCAGGCGTGGTAGCGTGTGCCTGTAGTTCCAGCTACTTGGAAGACTGAGGTGGAAGGATCGCCGGAGCCCATCATGTC